AAGTTATCGAACGCTATATATATATATATGCATATATATATATATATATATATATATATATATATATGCATGTTTATTGCCTCACGAGGATAGAATACGTGCTTCGGATCTGCAATGCGCAGACCGGAAGTATCTATTTTCCTCCCTCGTGTGAAAACAACCACGATGTTCTATTGTAGAAACGAACTGAATTTAAAGGGAAAAGTCTTGCACGATTCACGTGGCTCCGTGAATTTTTTTGCACATTCGATATTCGATATAATCACGAAATATATCGAGCCGAAAAGAAAATTCTTCCTAGGATATCAATTAATTTCTTTCGTACAATCTTTTTGTATTTCTATTATTTATTTCTTATTTTCTTTTTATAAATATTATTTCGCATATTTTTACAAATTGCACACACGCGCGATCTAAAGTGCAAATTCTCTTATCACGTTCCTCGCCGCGTATGATTAGAAGGCCTTACGTGGGAGAGATCCGCGTAGCGTTCGTGTAGAAACTTGGTACGCGTTATGGCATTGCGGAATCGCACCAAGTTTCGAGAGGGTGTTCCGCACGTCGGCGACGTGAAATCAACGATGGTGGATTATTGGAAACGCGTCCAAGTGTCGCGTTCTCATCGCCGCGCCGCGTCGCGTTGCACCGGCTCTGCGGATGTTTTCGGCGTGGTTGGTATTGGCAAGGGCGAATGGATACCATTGTTGCTTTGCGGTCGAGGTGATCGGGTTCAACAACGAGAGGTGCCAGCAGTTACCGTTCCAATCGTGTTGCGGAACCTTGCACGCTATCGGACTGTATACTTTCTCGCGAATTCGCGTAAATGCCGTTTAATCGCGCACTGGCGAACTTGATTGTCATAATCCAAATATATTACTCTGTTAGATATGCCAATTTTATATATTTTCCAAATTTACTATATATTATTAGAGTTGTTCCAACCACACAAAATTATTGTTGAGCTGAATACACTGCACGAACTTTTTGTAATTTTTCACGAATTAAGAATGTCTAAAAATTAAAATAGAAAAACTAGAAATATTTTTAGGTATTTTTTTATAATTTTTTAAAGAAAAGGAGAAAGAGAAAAGAAAATCGTATAATTCTGAGATACAAAAAAAAATGTGTATGTAACACGTGCAATTATTAATTAATTCAAATAAAGGTGATTATTTTGTTCTGGAACGGTGTTTTAGAAACAAAATCATCTTGTGAAAAACACTATAAATATGGATAATAAAATTTAAATATAGATAATAAGTATAAAGTACGAATTATGTCTGCTTTTCATTTTTTATTTTATTTTGATAAATTTAAATCAGTCTAAAATATTAAGCTTTTCTCTTGCACATCTATAAGTTAGTTACATAGTACATACATATTATTAATTCAACATAAAGTTATATAATAAAATTAATGAAACATGCAGCTGGTGTATGTGTTTCAATAAAATGAGTTCAAAATTTATTATCAAAGTTTGAACAATAAACTATTCTATTAATTTTAAAAGGAAACGAGATGATTTTCATGAGCATGTGCGAGCAAAACTGCGTAATTATTTTCACAGTCGCGATTTATTATATTCGACCAATTAATAATCCGCGAACTACGCGAATGAATAAATAAACGGACAAACCATAGCTAAATCATAATGCAACGCGGCGACGTGACATCCTTACACAACACTCGTAATAATCAATTTTGCTATTTAAATTAGTAATTAATTTTTCCAACGATTAATCGTAACTGCTATTACATCGGCGAATCTAACTCTTCACTGCGGATATTAATTGATATTGATATCTAAACGGTGTCTCTGATAGGTTCAAAATAAATAACGCTACGCGTATAAACGCGTGTATGTTGAATTGATCGAGCTATTCTAAATCTTCGTCACGCTGAATTTTATGTTCACGTATCTCTCGAATTCTCTCAACGCCAATATTCGTCACAATACTTGATGCGCAGCGTTTTAATTGCATATCATGTGGACGTTTATGTGAAGAGTGTCGGAATAATCCGCACGTAAATGCACCCCGTCAGTTTGCATCAACCGTTGTCACGCAGTTGTCGCCTGGCTATAGCTTTGACATGTCGAGGCCGCCAGTAGTTATGGTCGCGTCATGGTCAGACGTGACATACGTTTGCACCGTGGTGGACTATCGGCCGGTCAAACGCCACCTTACGAGATCCAATACTGGATGTAAATCACGTAAATAGTTGCGTCGCGAATAAACGCATCCGTACATCATAATAGAACGCGAAAATAAATAAATAAATAAATATGCGTAGGATGGATGTAGATAAATTTGTCGAAAAACATCGATGCGCGATCATTTCGAAAAAAATTTCCTAGCAGTTTCGGGCCATTTTTTTCAGGCTTTGAAATGACGTATTAAGTATGACACATGGTGCTCTGTCCGGGATTTATTACGTGAAAGTAAACACTGATGTGCGGACTCTTTTCGAAATATATATTCGCGTCTGACCATTATTCGCATATTCTACCCGGACAAACACGCTTGGCTTTTAGCGTTTGGCTTTCTAGAATATGCTCAGCAATAATGATCGATAATATAGATTCTCATCAAATCGGTCGAAACGCGATACTATTCAGTCACTGAGTCGTGGAATGCACATCGTCGAAGGATTATTCTCTATTATCATTGTGTTACATATTGGCGACGTCATAAAATCAAAGCGCACGATAGCTCGCGGGTAATCGAGCACGCTCATGCACGCAATACCATTAACGTTCATTATAATTCAGTCGCAAAATTACGAATATATAACTATGAACATCCACACGCGGATTAATCTCGATAAGTTCCGGAGCCGGTGCCGGTGCCCGGCAACCTATTTTCTCATTACTCGGCAACAACGAATTAATCCGGTTACGAGAGGATCCGGAAAATAATCACGCGAATCCAAATAGAGAAAAAACCATTTTTATTACAACGCGAAAATGCGCGAGCAAGTATTACGGCCGTAAAATCAATTTCGCGCTGCAATTTTGATAATTCGTTAAAAAAACATAGTGTAGTTATTTTTTGCAGGATGAAGAACCGTAATATGCGTCAGCTTGGAAGTTGACTCGGATATATATATATATATATATCGCGGAAATAAAAGAAATGTAAGATAAAAATATTATATAAGGACACTAAGGTAAAAGCGTCGTATTATATATGACATTTTGCGAGCACAGAGAGTCGTCGTAAGAGCGATGTTACGATGTTTTTTAAATATTGAAAGATATACGACGGTTATATATGCGGCATTTGATGCATCCGAAGAGAGTGCTTAGATTGCCGGTATCGCACGAACCTGCGACAGCGAAATAGTATATTCTCGCTCGGCAAAGTAAAACTACTCGCGTCGGGAGAGATGTATACGCCGTGACGTACGAGAATGTACCTGAGAGAAAGAGAGAGAAGGAGAGCATAAAATATTAGCGCGGGCTACTTTATTTTTCAATTTTATCCGATACGCCATGCCCTATCTTTGAGAGATGGAATATGAGCCGCGTCATTTTCACGTGACGTCCAGCGGGTTTTATTTATATCACGCGCGCGATGCTCGGACAGGACGTTTATTAATGTCAGGAATATCACTCGACCATATTCACCTTGTCGAAGTAACGTTGCGCAGCTTGTCGATCGGCTTGTCGAATCTAAATATCGAGAATGAAATTAGCCTTTCCTCGTTTTGTTTTCTTTTTTTTTTTTTTTATTTGTGTTTCTATAATGTGAAACTTTGTTACTCAAAGATAAAATACATCTTACTTTCCAATTACTTTCTTTTATAAATACTGCATCGGTATAATCAGCTTTGATTAGCAATCCATTTAATTATTGATTAATTACTTTGCGATTAAAAATTCTCGAGATGCTTTTCTAACTTTTAAACATTTCCTCGCGTTGCTCGCTCTTCCGTCCTTTTAATAATTTTAAGTACCTCACGTGCTACATTGTAAAGTAGAATGCAGCGCGTTCGTTATCCCGCCCCAAACCGTTATAAATAAAAGATGCCACCGTGGCACGGTGAAAAACAAAGGAAAAAAAACTGCGGCTCACGTGAAGGTGGCGGGATCGTCGTTGGGACGTGTTGGAAAACGTTCCGAAAGAACAAACGAATTTCGAGAAGGGTAGTCGCGATACATGTTTAATAAAGGCGAGAGAGCACCGTGTGTCGGTGGAGATAAAACGACGCTTGGATGTTAAACGCACCTGTGCGCATCGAAAGTTCGCTATGAATAATTCCGTTTGGGAAACTACAACCGTACGGGTGACAATGTCGAGTCAAACTACTCGAAGCCCGCGTAATTGACCTTGCGCAACTCACGACTTTATTTTCTCCCCTTTTTACCTGCACTTGCATCCGGTCAGCGAAAGCGCACGTACATCCCGTTGCAATCGATTCCGCTCCGAATAAGTCGACGTTTTAAGAAACCTGATACCTTAGTTATCAAGTATTTACTGTTGGAGCGCAGTCTGCGTCAAAGCCTGTACTATACACAACATACGGATCTTCGAAATAATTCACAATACAGATCTTTTCTCCTTTCCTTCCCCCATAATCGTTAATAAAATATAATATAATTTATAAGTGTCGAAATAAGAGTGAGAACGTAGTTGTTGAGGAAATGATCTCTCGAACTATCGAAAAGTCGGAAAATAAAGTATTTATGATCTATAATATATTATCTTAAGCTATTTCATCTATTAACTTGTAATGTTTTAAAAATTTTAATAATTATTATATCATTAAATGCATTTAATCTCAAAAAAAATGTTGAGTTGTTCGTATTTGATATCACAGCTGCATTGAACAATATTTTCGAGTCAATTTGCACGGTTGTAATTTTTTGAGAATAAGAGTACGTTTTCAAACTGGGTTTGGAATTCGACTGAAGATTCGAAAGGCCATTCGGCAATTCGCGTTTCTCTCGTCGACACGGGATACGACGATATGTTTTTCAGATGATGTGATCGTTTCAGGATGGTCCAGCCTCCGTCTTGCCGTTGACCCAGACTCTATCGAACATTTATGGCCGCAGATCGGCCAGTCCCGATGTTCCAGGCCCCGATGTAGATGAGATTCAGGTTCGTAAACGTGCAAAATGCAAAAGTAAACACTGCGAATCTTTGAAACATGTTCACTTCCGCGACAAATATTGTCACTGCAAACTAAAACCTGTTCCACTAGATTCGTAAAATAATATTGTAGCACTATTATAACTCGATTAATGAAACGTTATATTTATTGTTAAGCTAATCACATCAGCATTGAGTGTTTTTTTAACAAAATAATTTTTTTTCTAAAGCACAATTCCAGTAAAAATAATCACTTTCATTTGAATTAATTAATAATTGTGTGTGTATTTTTGTGTACATATGATTTTTTTGTATCTCAGAATTTATATAAATATATTGATCACAAAGAGCGCAGTTCGATTGTTCATAAGCTCGTGATGGTAAGCCTGTTTTCTGCAGTTGAATGTACGACGGAGGTTTCTAGCTTACCAGACCTCGCTTATTCGAGAGATTCGTGGCAACACAACTTAGAATTTACTCACAGTCCCAAGCTATTCTTAAGACTTGTCGATAATGCGATTTCCAAGTGCCTGAGAAATAAATATTTTATCTTTTTTGCAAGACACTTTTCTTATTATATAAAATATTATAGAAATTAAATTTAAATGATATAGATACAGTAATTATATCAATGCGATATATTGTTTATAAATCGATTTAATTTGTCTTTAATATTCTTCAATCGCTTTTTTCAATTCTTGATACATATACGTGATTAAATTTAGGTTCATCAAGTCAAATTTAACGTAAAAAAAAAAAATTAAAAAAAGAAAATCGCGTTTTATACAATGTTATATAACTAATTTTATTAAACATAAATTTAGATACAGACGAACATACTTAATTTTGAGTGTCCAACGGGAGTTTCTAAAACTCTCGTAAGAGTCTTAAACCCGAATAGCTACTGGGAAGCACCTACTATCGACTCTAATCGTTCGAAAGAGACACGCGGGAGAGATTCCTTGTAATCGTGTTTTCTCTAGTTTACACGACGGAAAATGTAACGTGGCGATGTGTAACGTGCTGCGAGCTGAATTTTGAAATGAAACAGCAGCGCGCGCGTATAGTGTTTCATATAAATATTGAAACGTAATATCAACTCGCAATATTACGCGGTGCGAGTGTAATACGAAATGGCTATTTGAAAAATTTTTATTTCCGCCGTGACACATGTGTAAATTTGCGTTATATTTACATGTGTTACGCGGCGCGTAATTGAAAAATTCACGGCCGTCGTATTTTTATTATCACTTAAACTTCCTGCCACGCTTGTCCGCTCGAGTAGCATCTGGAGAACCGATTTTTACGGGAATAAAAGCATCGATTTAATGCACATATCTATCGTGTCTCGCCATTCCGTGGAAATCGGGGAATGAATAAGCGCAGTACATACGTAAATCTCGATGAATACTCGATGGATTGCGTTTTCAACGGTGCTATCAACAATTTTCAAACTGGCACGAAATTCATTCTGTCGATATTTTTTTTCATCAGAAACCTTTCTATCAAAATATCAGTATATTCTTATGGACAGTATATCATCGATAAAAAATTGTAAGTGCTTACAATCCTATATTTCGATAAAAAATTCGATAATTTCATTGATCAGAATAATCGTACTACAAAAAAGCCCCGTTTTAACGACATTCAGAATTTTTTTCGATTAAATACGGTGATCAAATTTTTTAAAGTTTGTCAATTAATTCAGATTATATAATGTATCTCACACACACAATATCTTTCTGTAATTATAACAGCTTTTTTATATGCTACCATCCTTTTTTTAATGCGCTGCTTACATTATTACATTAATACAACCCTCAAATGCCGCTTTTTGCTGCTTTCAAAAAGCTTAACACAACACTTAAAGTTTAATGTAAAGAGAATATTCGCTCGAGCTTCTCTAACGAAAAGGGATTTAACTATAAACATAGAAATTAATTCGCTTTACGTCAACGGCAGACTGTAATTTTCCGCTATCCTGCTCTTCGTCCTTTCGCCATCATTATTGCGTAAGGCCTTGCCGTGCAATTCTTCGCTTCGTTTCAGAACACGATCCGCGTGGTCCTCGATTATCTCCTCACGTTCTTCCTATCAAATCCAAGGTTTCCTGAAGCTGCGGGACGCCGCATTGTGCCCCGGCATTGTGCTCGTAATGGACATCCGATTCGCAAAATGAAACGGGAGTTCATAAAAAGACTTGCTCGATAGACGGCTGTGCATGACGGTTAATTAAACTCGCACGGAGCTATTTCGCGTATTGTAACGTTCGCGAGTAAGTCTGACAATGAGCAATTTCAGCTTGGAATCACTGATGCCTTGAACAAAAATTAAATAATAAATCATACACGCGCTTATAAATGTTGCTTGTAAATGTTCGCCGGCCTATTCCTACGTTATGCTTTCGTAATCTATTATCGAGAAATTGACCGTTGATTGATCGGAGCTATCGTCATTATTCGCCGATTAATCAGCAACGTATCAATTTGTAAACTGTACCGAAAATCAGCATGTCAATCATTATTAATGCCGTTTTGCGACCTACAAGCGACTGCTCGAATCATGATGATTGGTTCAGAGCGGTTACATTATGATGCATTCCGTTTGACTTTAATAACCTGGTTAACTTATACGAGAATAGAACGTTTCAGCAATTATGGCAATATTTGTTTTCGTCAATGATCAAAACATGCCGTTGCATACAAGAAGGAATATCCGTTAATAGAAATTTATTATTGATCACCATTTAACCAGTTTCTGAATTGTTTTTCGCTGCTTTACTAATTAACTCGTTAGAAAATGCCGATAATGTCGTGATATAATATGCAATTGCATTTTATCCAGAATAAAAGATATTACTTTTGTGGATTTTTATCAGATTCGATCTACCGTAACTTGCGTGGAATTTAATGATATAATCGAATATAATCGATAGCGCTTTTATAATTTTGGAGATAAAACTCGCTGTAGAAAAATATGTAATGGAGCGTAACGGGAGGGCTGTAAATTGTTGTTTGCTCAAAATACGATTCCAAGAAATTGGTCGCCGGCTCTGCGGCATGAAGTTTAATTAAGCGAGAGTTTAATCAGGCCGAATGTGAACTTACGCGCGAACACAATTTCTCCCGGCATCGATCTCGGGCTCTATAGTTCTGTAATATCACTGGAGAGACCCTATATAGTTACTATTGTCTGTGAGAATTGCGTTTAACGAAGGCGACGACCATTCGACATTTAAACGCGTGACATCAATAACGCAGTTTATCGTTATAGAGAATACTACGAAATAAATGGCGCGACTCATTGAATTCATAAATAATGCGCGCGGCCATAATTAATCATCTCGAGTTCTATCAAGTTTGGATCCGATCAAAGAAACAAGTTCCTCGGAGAATCCTCCTTCGGACTGCCGTCCAATCGCGGAGATGCGCTCAGAATTAGACGGCGACACCTTCGTCGGAGCATCGACACGCTATTGATATCAGTGCCCTGTCGCTTTTACAGCAGTACCGACGCTGACGGACTTTCCACGTTGAAATATACAAACTCGAGCATTTTCATAAAAACACCTCGAGGCACAACCGTGATTAAGTGCGACGGTTTATTTATCTCAAAACGAAATACCGTTATTGCAATTATTCCACGTAGTCGCTATTAGAAATTGCATTTTTTTTTTTTTTTTTTTTTTCAAAAATTAATATTCGCGAAAAAAATTGAAACTTCGGGAAAGTGTGTGACAGAGACGAAGTGTACCCAACGAGAGAGCACAGTGGCATCGATTCGTATACGAATAGGATTTTGTTCGTCTTCAAAAATTTTTTTTTGTTTATAAAACTGAAAGAATTTCTAAAAAATATTTGCAAGAAAAAATAATGATGTTGACTTGAAAGTTTTTCTATTTATATTCATATTAATTTGGCCGGGATATCAATATAGGATATTTTCGCTAAAAAAGGGGTCGATCTTGTTAAAACTTCCGACTCTCAGAATAAAAGGAAGAGAGGATCTATTAATTGGCGTGATCACGAAATAACCATGCTTATGAAAGCAATCATGTTTGTCTTGGAAGAGTTAACGCGGAGTGATTCAGTGAGAATGTGAGATGAAAAATAAAAGAACTGAGAAACAATATTTTATAGAACATTGTCGTAAAAAGAAGAACAAAAATAAATCCGTGAGATCCTTTCTCTTATCGTAACAAATTCGAATACCTATTATTTCAAAACTTCCGTCCATTTTTCTTCCGATACGGAAAAGAATTTAAGTATACGTCGTGTATAAAATACTTTTTCAATAAAACTGTACAGTATTAAAAAATGTGCGATAAATTAAGATATGATGATGTAACAAATCAAGGGATTTGCGAAGGGATGCATTTTCACCGAACAGAATGTTGATGGAGATTGTTTGCCGAAGCTCCAAGTCTGAACTATTTCGCTCTCGCACGCGTGGTTTCTCCATAAACAATATGCGGCGGTGTTTGGTATTCTTGGAAGTTTGTAAGCACTTCAATCACTCTGAAATTTTCCTTCGCAATCCGTTCGCACGACCATATGGTGCATCAAATGTATCTATTTTTGCGCAAGCTTCCGTCAATAAAAATGCGAATGTACATTTCAGTAAAACGTTCAAAATTTGGAATACACGAAAAAATATGTTTATATTTTGATGTAACAGCTAAAAAATAACATGCCAAATGAAAGATAATAGCCTCTAAATATAAAATAGTAATTAACAATTTAAAAAAAATTTCTTTTACAAATAATGATTTGTACATTATTGTTCTTTTTCAAAAGATTGTTCGTGCAATGATTAAAGAATAATTTTTGTATAATAATGTTTGTTCAAAGATTGTTTATTAAAAGCGTAGTAACGAATGATTAACGCAATTAATACGTTTCGTCGAATAGAGAACTTGAAATATTATTTTCACACTTTCCCTGACTCGCGGCATTAATGCGCATTCGATTATATAACGTCATCGTGGCACCTTTATTCGCGTTCGCAGAATACACTCGATAATAATGGCCGATGTGACTATATGTTGGAGGAATAAAAGCGCACGCGATGGAACAAGAGGGAAAGGAATATAGAGACAGTCCGATACTTATGACACGCTTTCAGAGCACGAGAAACGAGAGAAAAGGGGAATTTGATTCGTGACACATATATCCCTGACGTTCTCTTCGCCATTGGTATCGATCTCTCCGACGATGGGCACGCCCGCGATACTCGATTGAAAGCACTCGTTCGAGCAGTTTCGACAAAAACGGCAAGCAGCTTAAACGAATCATAAAAATTTATCTCGAATCCGGAAATTCGAAAATAAAAGTTTAAATGTTAAAAGTTGCCCTTGTAAAAAGTTTCAAATAATGAAGTACGAATTAAATACAAGAATTTTCTAATGAGAGAGAACTAAGCTTTCGTAAAAATATATATTTTTTATTGAAATAAAACATTTTAATTTTTTTACATTAGATAAACCATTTTATTCCCAATAAATTTTATAATTTAAAACTTCTCGTAATACGTTGTATACAATTAACGAGATGCAAATAGCAACTCTAATAGATAATTATGTACGTCTCGATTTAATTTTTATCATTTTTTTCACCATTATACATATAGCGCTTCTATTTCGTTTGAAATTTGCGCAACGGCAAATCGAGTGGACTTTGATGGACAGTGTATATTGAAAAATATATATTCGCGAAATATCGTACACGGACTGTTTTTACACGATGATAGACTGGGTGTCGATCGTACGTCACTCAAGGCGTCGATTCAGTGATTACATGTTCACCGTGCCGGTCAAAATACGAAAACGTCGAAGAGCAAGACGGCACATCGATCCAAAATTGGTTTTGCCCGATAATTGCGACGCTAATAACGCGATTTCGCGCGATGATTCCGAAAATGGCGGGAATTTTTGCGAATGCTGCTGGAGTCAAGTAAGTTTCGGGCAAAAAGGATGTTTAAATAAATTAATCGAGAAAATTAATTGTGGAAATTAATAAAAAAAATATTCTGTAACTGCGTTTTTATATTAGGTATAAGTTAATATCTATTGATTTTGAAATGTCAGTATATGTGTCAGAAATGTAACGCTTTTTTTTTATATCTTGGCATAGAACTTTCATAACAATTGATTTGGGATAATGAGATGAAAATTTATTTTTCTTTGTTGCAGAAAACAAGATATGATAATGTAGGGGTGGAGGAACAGTTGCCACCACCGCCGTCGCCGCCTCAGTTAAAAGAGGCGGCCCAACTGGATGGAGTTCCTAGACCGAATTCGGTCGACCGTATCCTTCATTCTGACAATACCCAGCATAGCCATGAGACGCTCAACAAGGTAAGAGTGTTGAAATAATTTTTTTAATAGTTTATAATATCGCATTGATAAACAGATGCGAACTGCGTTTGCGGAAAAGTAGAAATTTTCATTTAATATAAATCGTATTTAAAATGTCGCAAAAGAGAGAGAAGTTGATATCTTTGTGTGTAACTTGAGCATTTGAATTTGTTGCTTGATTCGAAAATTGAAATCCTATGTAATTGAAATATGGGTGTGAGAGGAAAAAGAGGGTTAAAGTAACAGATCAAAGGTACATTGCTCGCTGAGGGAAAATGACTGACGCATGCGCATACGAGCTCGAAATATTCGCCACCTACGGTTTCACCCCCGAAGATACTCGCTTCTACCGCGAAATCGATAGATGCGACTTCCATGCAGCTGGTAACGGTTGAAGAACAGATCTTCCACGTTACCGAGTGCTGCAATTCCCGACAAACGTTAAGGCTTTACGTATAGCTGATACACAAATATACAGAGACTCTAACATTTGAATTTCGTACGTGCAAATCAGCATTACGCATATCAATACAATTAAAAATGATCATCCAAATAACTATAAATTCCGTTAAGCTAAATTCCCAATAAACTTCTCAGAATAGCGGAGAAATTTTAATTCCTCGAGTCTGTATACCCTTTCGTCTAACTTCTTCTTCTTCTTCTTCTTCTTCTGTATGGCTGCTAAGGCATCTGGGGGATTCGCCTATATGCCACAATGTCCCTTTCGTCTAACTATTTAGAATCCAACTGTGATTGCATAGTAGTAGTTTCGCGATATGAAAATTATGTAAATTGGGGCACGGCTATCTCGGAATAAGTTGCCGCAACCCTTCATCAGAGGGCAGGGTACCGCCGCGGAATTCTCGGAAAAACCGCAGGATCCCGCTACCGTCTACCACGTGGTAAGATCGACGTCTGCATTACCGTAGTCCCGTTGACTGGCCGCAACACGTGGACAAAACAGTTCGGCCGCGACTTTGCAGCTCGTCGGCCCCGAGAGCCGGCCAGGCAAACGCGACACGACTCGGTGGTGGTTCTCCGATGGTGCGCTGCACGATTCCGATCGCGAAACAGAACTGCGCGATCGCAGACTCGTTATGACGAAGAGGTACAGGACAGAGAGTCCCGAGGGTGTTTCCTCGCGTCGAACTCGACGTCCTTGGATACGAGGGTGCGAAAAACCAAAAGGCGTTTATTGATCGCGCTTCTAGGAGGTGCAATGTTTTTCTATCGCTGCGACCGGTCGATAACGGGACCGATGTGCCGCGAAACATTTCGCGACCGCGTTATGTATAATCGGCACGAATTGTGAAGTGCGCATTCAAATTACACCGTGCGTTTTCCGATATTTAATTACGTCGACATTTGACCAGCTGCCGAGAGCGCGGACACATCGAGTTTCCGCAAACGCGTGCAGTTATAATAGTTCCAGTCGTGTATAAATAATTTGGGAATTAGGTTAATTAATTCAACGTACGCGCAAGCTTTATCGCGTCGCCGCTATCCCGACCAGATAGATAATTACATGCTTTTAATTAAGGAAAAATATGCGTGAATTTATGCGTATTAATGCTTCTATCGCGTTTTGCAAAAATTTGTTTCTATGAGAATTCTATGAGATATCTTGAGCAACTTTATTTTATTTAACTATTTGTTATTGTACATATTTAGTTAATTATGCTTTATATTATATTTAAATTGTTTTATTCCAAATTATCTGTTAACATTGAAAATGTATCGAAAATATATATTTTCATTCTAACAATAAGATAAAATATAAATTACTGTTCAGAGAGAAACTTTGAAACTAAAATTTTATCAAAACTGAAATTCCCTGTAGATAAATTCTGTATTCATCGTGCGAATCCGCCGACGTGTAACGAATTTTGATATATTTTTCTGTCATTCTCCGATAGAACGAGCAGAATCGTTAAAATATAAATTGTGACAATGCGATATTCTCGATCGTGCGATAATTTAACGGATGTATCTGCGTCGGGAAATACAAGTCATTTGCACGAGATTAATCGGTGATTTATCAGCGATTTGTCACAGTCGCAAATTAAAGTTGCAAGACTTTTATCGCTCTCTCGTGAACGACGATCATTAAAGAAGAACGTTAAAATGGATTTTCGCATTTTGCGAGAGTGGTTGCAATCATCTTTTTAACGCATTCGCGCAGCATCGAATGAGATTTTGGGGGTAAGAAGAGTATAACGATATAAACCCCCCCAGATACACGTGCTACAAGTGGTCGATATATACAATGTATTGTTATTCCTATTTCGTATCGAATGATTTTATATCTCGAATTGAGATTTTAGTTATATCGTGATTGAATCTTGCTTTTAAAACCTTTTTTTGTAATTTTTACAGCTATTTTCCGCGCTGTTAGAAATTTTTCCACATAAACGTATATTTTCCCTCGTATATTTACGACTAAAAATCCATATTTATTTAATGCATTAATTTCTGTAGTTTACTTAAGTAATAATTTAACGCAAAATATGTATATTTTTGCAAATTTCAATATTAGCAAAAATTATAATTAAATTGTTTATAAGTGCGTTATATTTTTATATATTTTTTTAATGCTATGCAGTCAATCAATGAAACTTCTTCATGCTATACCGAAAGTTCAGGAGCAGCCAGATAATTTCTTATGAGAGCACGAACATTGTAAGTGCTCGCTAAAGACCAAGTTTCATCTACTTAAGGCGAGAAACACCGGTTATAACGAAGGTAACTACAAACTCATCGTGCGCCAGGGAGGGTCGTTTCAACGTTATACATAATTTATGTCGCGCAATAAATTACCATTCTCATCATCTTCAATCTAACACGATGCTACGCGAACGGCGCGATAATACTATTTTCTTCCAACAAGTAAATGGCAAAATACGAATATGTTTTCCGTGCCATTTTCTCTTCACTATCTCTTCTACGCGAGTTCGCCTTTTCCTTCTTTCTGGCTTCCGTTGTCGTAATTTATCGATGCGTTTTTTTACAGAAACCTCTCTTTTATTGCGACATCTACCGAATCTAGGCCAAGTAAGGAAATATTCTAGATCGAACTTCTACAAAGTCGCAAGGCATATCGTGACTTCTTATATATAAGATAATTTTGTTGCAAAACAACTCATATTATTCGTAAATTTTATATCGATATAAGAAATTTAAAAAAAAATTTAGAAACATTTCTTAAAGAAATAATTTTTTGCGTTCAATAATTTTTTACGGAGGAAATGATCATTAATGAGGTATTCCCATCCTAGCTTTGAATGGTCCCTGCACATAGAGTCATTATGAGATACGAGGATACGTTGAATATGGACGCGAAAGCACGAGTTCATCCGAAATCGCAAGCTTTCATTAAAGTCTTACAAAAAATGATCCAGACTCGACAAAAGGTATGGAATGAGAGATTGAAGTAAGAAAGATTAAGGTAGATGAGGGTCGAACACATTTCTTCTCCACGTATGATTCCACCGAATAGTCATCGTTCTTCGCATGACCTAGATCGACCTAGATACTACCTTCTACGATGTTGCCCATTTTCTCTCTTGAGCGTTTCTCGGCTCAGCAAAAGGTTCGACAATAAACCTCGCTTTTCTCAAGGCGCGAGACCCGATTTTTAAATCGTCGAAACTACGCGAAGAATTTTCTTTTAAGCTTGTGAAAAAGAGGAGTGAAAAACAGGAGAGAAAAGTTCTTTTAAGAAAAGCCATTATAAATATATAACAATGTAATTTAATGCATTTAAGAATTCCGTGGAATTATTTGAACTGTCCAAAACATTTATTTTAGATACAAAAAAACGTTGCAAGATTTACGAGCAAGTCGTTTTTTATGGACATACAATTATGAAATAAACATTTCTATTATAAGAGTATTGATAATGAATCACCATTCTTTCCACAATTTATATTATAGAAGAAATTCTGAATTACTCGCACAGTATGGGCTGCATAATAGAGTTTGTCAGTTAATACATCTCGGATTTCACATTAGATTATTAAAATATATACTAAAATTAAATTATTTGCTATTTATTCAATATGTTATTATTAAAATCTTATAACGTCATTTTAGTATTTCAGAAATAATATATGAAGCTAATAATTTTCATTAAATTGCACCATATTTGCAATATATGTAAAAATACGAAATTGGATAAGAGATGAGAGATATAAAATTATTATATAGAAAATTCAATTTTAATTGTTTTTCCTTTAAATTGCTTTACATAAAAAAGACGTTGTTTGAGTGTGTTTAATTTTTTACGTAGTTATGTGTAATCTCACACAAAACTGATCGTTAATATGCCTGCATGTTAAATAGCAAGTAAAGTCGCAGAAATTACAGTGTAATGAACTTTTTGCATGTATTATGTCGAGTTCTACGTGACATTTACTTTAAGTATTCAGATATAACTAGACTCGAGTACATTATGCGTCTTGCAAATTATCGCGGCGAAGCGATTTAGATAATTATTTAATAATCATGCGCGTTTTTTATCGCGCGCGTTTTTTTATCGTGCGCGTTTTTATCGTAATTTTCGCGCAAAATGCAAAATTCATGATTTTGTCCATAATTTTATTCGCCTTGACATTTAACTTTATCGACCGGATTATACTCTCGATTAAATGTTAAACGAAAAATCTCTCTTGTATCCGCTGATTTTGCATTATTTATCATTGACTATACGAATGCTCGAAATCACCGATTAGTATGGATGCAATTAAAATTGCTTCGCACGGAAAATCAGGAAACTCGCGTAAACTCCCAGCAGAGGATAAATTACAGGCTGGATGCAAATTGCAAATCAACCTACAATCACTCGGCAAATAGTAATTCGAGCGAATAGGCCGCGCGACAAAATTAAATAAAGACTGCGTTATCGCTACGCGTGTTTAATTTGCGCAATACGTGTTACGATCAACTTAACGTGTCGTGTTACTTCTAATCTAATCTAATCGCGATTAACCCCTCGTGACCAA